ATCTATTGCACACCCCGACAAGATGACAACTAAATGAGCATAATAATCTAAAAGATATGTACCTCTGCAATTTAGTTTGGTGGAAGACCTCTAGTCTCACCGCTATATATTAATTGGTTAAAGAAGATCGTCTACAAACGATGCTAAATTTTGCAAGTTGGTCACTGCTACCATACAACAAAATAATCTAACAAAAGCATAACTATTACAATTATACTTATCACTTTTTTTTTGAGTTTTATCATTATTAGTTTTATTTCTTTTATTATTTTTTTTTTTCTTCTCTCTAATAATTAATCTACGGAGTCAAGAAAATGAACCATATTATATATAACAATATCAAAATCTTCCTGAAGACAGCTCAATATCTGGTATTGTTTAATTCTCAACAAAGAAGGATGTTGGAATCGCAAAGTAAATTTTTTGTTATTTGTAACCAGATGCTTTATAAGAGAAATCGATAAAGAAAGACGAAAAATAAATTGCTACAAGTAATATTACAAGATGAAGTAGCCCCGCTATTATACCTAATGCATGATTATCCCTTAGGAGCTTATTTGGGGTAGAAAAAATGGTTGAGAAAATTTGTGACCACTATTATTGGCCTCAAATATACGAGATATTCGTGAACATGTTAAAACCTGTGATTAATATCAAAAGCATAGAAAATATAGAGTTCACGGCCCATTACAACCTATACCTGTTGAAACCCCATTTCACAAAATTGGAATCGATTTTGTAGGATCATTAGAAATAATGTCTAAAATGAACTGTTATATTATTGTGACCGTTAATTACATGACCAAATGGCCCAAAGCTCAAGCTGTGCCCACAGCTGATACACAGCAAACTGCCTATTTCATTTTTCAGAAAATTATTTGTTGACATGAATGTTCCGCCTATCTAATATCAGATCGAGGGCTTTATTTTAATAACGAAGTATTGAAATTTTTAGCACGAAACTTTGAAATTAAACACCTATTATCTACTCCATATCATCCGCAAACAAATAGACTTGTGAAATGCTATAATCGCACACTATGTGAATCATTAGCAAAGTTAGTAACCCAAGACTAAGAATGGGATACATTAATATCTTCTGTGTTATTTGCATATCACACATCCAAACAGTCAATAACTAAGTTTACTCTATTATATCTTATCTATGGATGTGAAGCCAAGTTTTCTGATTTTTCGTTAACAGCCCCAGTAGAAAAAACTATAGAAGCAAGGGTAGATGTGTTAGTAAACGATTTAATAATTAATCGTGCAATAGCTAAAGAAAATATTAGCATGGCTCAACAACGACAAAAGTTTTGTTGGGATAAGAAGCTTAAGAAAGTCATATGAATTTTTCAACCAGGAGACAAAGTTTTTCTATATGACATAGCGATCGATACTTACCTATTGTCTAAATTCTATACGAATATTATATCGTATAATTATTATAACAACTATTGTATCTTCATATATATTAGTTGTTTCGCCTCTTTGAACAAGCCTTGATAAACCTCTTTGATAAGTTGCATCTTCTACTGGGGTGTATACCATCGGTCTAATTACAAACATAAACCGTTTATCCATTTATCCACTAGATATCTGATATCCAATAATAAT